TGCACACACCCTGGCCCATCACACCCCACTCCATGCACACACCCTGGCCCAGCACACCCCAGTCCATGCACACACCCTGGCCCATCACACCCCACCCCATGCACACACCCTGGCCCGGCACACCCCAGTCCGTGCACACACCCTGGCCCAGCCCACCCCAGTCCATGCACACACCCTGGCCCAGCACACCCCACTCCACGCACACACCCTGGCCTGGCACACCCCCTTTCCACGCTTGCCTTGGGGCTCAATGCACCCCCACTTCACTCACACGTGCCCTTCTCACACATAGGCACAACTGGAGCAGCAGCTCTCAGAGGTCGCAGCTGAGAACATCTGCTATGCTCCTCCTGTGGTTTCTGTGGCTCTCCCTGACTTCAGGTCTCGCTGTCCCGCCCACCCTACTACACCCCACTGGGGTGTGTCACAAACATCTCAGGCTTGATATGTCCCAGAGTTCTGCACTGTCCCCTAAATTTCCACTTCAACCAGTGTCTCCCAGATCCCTGAAATGCATCTTTCTGGCTCTTTTCCCAGCAAATGGCACTCAACCCATCAGCACAGCTGTCACCCCACCGCGAGACCCCCAGAACCCTAACTGCTCTCACTGGGAGCACTCAATCCAAGCTACTGCCATCTCTTTTGGACTCCATGAGTGCCTCACTGCCCTTGGTTTCAAAGGCACTGTCCAGGTCTTTCAAAGCCAGGTCGGATCATGTCTCTCTCCTCCTTCCCCGACCCTGCCTTCTGCTCACACTTCCTACAGAACTAGTGGCAATGCTGGGCTTCCTGTCACACCCAGAGGCCAGCCTGCCAGCTCAGGCCTCTGCTTGGGGGTCCCAGACACCCACAGGGTCTCGTCTCCCATCAGCCTCTGGTGCACATGTCCTAACTCAGTAAAGCCCTCCTGCTGCCTCCCCTGTGCCTGCTTCCCTTGGTCTCATTTTCTTTCCAGACCCATTGATGATCAACCCGAATGCGTGGCTCTAGCTTCCCTGTGCCATCACAAGTCCCTGCAGAATAAGCACAGTGACTCCGAAGGGCAGTGTCAGGCACAGGCGGCCTCTAGCTCCACCCAGCAAGGCCCGCAGTCTTCCTGCCCCTCTCCAGTCTGCCCAGAGCATGGTGCTCTGGAGCCCAGGCCACACCCTGCAGGGCAAGACCTTCGGAACTCCCACAGGACGCCAGGCTCGGGATCATTCAGAAGCACATGTCAGGCAGCAAAGGGTCTCCACTCACACATCTTCACTTGTGTTCGTAGCTTAGGCTCACTAAGCAGCTTCGAGAACAGTTCCTTGCCAGCTTTAGTTCGCTTTAAGAAGAGTTATGCTTTTTTTCAGGGGAAAAGACAGTTTTCACTAGTTCTACAGTCCCTTCTCAGACATGAAATTGCACAACAAAAACATTAAACCTGATCTGCTACACTGCAAATTCTCAAACCCTGAGATTAAAGTGAACTAACTCAAAAGCTACCAATCCTGCAAAAATTATCACCTGCTTACGCTGAATGTTTTGGGTACTCCAGGGACCTAAGGGTCAATGCACACCTCATGACATAGCACTCCCACTCTGCAGCCAGAGGAGCGAGATGCCAGGTGCATCTCGTGGGCAGACAAAGGTCTGGTGTCTCATGCAGCTCTGGGTCTTGGTGTTGCCCACATGCACGGCCACTCAGGCCCAGGGGGACGAACAGGTGGAGCGAGCCAAAAGGGCCAGTGCCTGACCAAGCTGTTGGCAGCTCTGTGCTTAGGGTCTTGAAGCCTTCAAGTCTCTGTTAATGAAATGCCTCAGAGGTCACACGAGGGCTGTGGCCTAGCTCAGCGGTAATGCCCTTGCTTAGCACTGTAAGGCCTGGGTGCCGTGCCCAGCACTGTAAAGAAGCAAAGAAATCACACAAAGAACCTGACAGCAGAGGCTCACCAACAACCACAGAGGCAAGCATCCTGAATGGTCAGAAACACAGAGGACACAGCCATCTGCTTAGAAAACCCAAAGGGTCACCCTAGGAAATCCTGGGCAAGGACTCACTGGCCAGGCTGTCGCTCAGACACAGTTACGGGGTGTGAGAGCACCCTGGCTGTTGCAGCCCTTCACCTCAGTGACAGCCGGCTGACCAGCTGGCTAGGCGGGTGTCCCCATCCTCCCGCAAGGCTCCACATGCATCCCTCCTGAAGCTGTGCGCTCAGCTGAAGAGGACGACCCTGGTAGAGAAGGACCATCCTCAGGGATGCAAGGGGCTGTGCTCCCCTGCTAGAACCTCCGCACAATCTCCTAAGAGACAGTTCAGCGGCATAAACGCCTTGGCAAGCACAAGGTCCTAAGATGATCCCCAGTACCAAAAAAGAAAAAGAAAAAAGATACAGCTACAAAAATCAACAGGACTAACAAGTATCATTAAAATCTGGGGGAGGGCAGGGATAGAGCTCAATGCACAGCACCTGCCCGGCAAGCACAAGGTCTTGCATTCGAGTCCCAGTGCAAAAGAAAACAAAACAGTGAAGAAAAGGCACAGCATTCCCCAAAAACTAAAAGCAAAATGAGCTTCAAGACAGCGCCTGCACATGTACATCCCAGCAAGGCGGGAGACGCCCTGCCAACTCGGAATTGAGGGATCTGGTCTCCTCCAACTACCAAAGCCTAAGTTTAACATAAATCAGTGCAATCCTGAGACATGAACTGGCTTATGTTGAAGGAGGAAGGATTTTCTCAGTGATGACATGATGGTTAAGATGCATGTAGAAGGGGAGATGGCTCAGTGGAATGAGCGCTTCCCTGGCAAGCACAAAGGCCTGAGTTCAATCCCCGGTTCCACCAAATAAAAAAAAAAACTCCTAGACAAAGATGCATGTGGAAGCAAGCAAATGAAAAACAGCTTACACCTTTCATGGGAAGAACTCTGACGGGAAACTCAGAGAAGAACAGAAGACAGTGGAAGTGAAGCAACCACAGCTGCTGACTGCAGCCGGCACTACCGGGCTGACACAGCATGTCAGGAGGACACTGAAGAGCTGGTGAGGGACAGGGAGGAAGCCAACCCAGAGCCTCACCATACACCTGAATCAAAGTAAGACTCATGGAAAAGGTAAAGAAGCAAAACGCATGGGAAAGCACAGCCCCTCATGTCTCAAATCTCTAGACAAACTACTAAAGCTTCGAGCACCTCGAGCAAGGCAGAGACCAAGCCAAGCAGGGCTGGTGGAGACAAACTAAAAGGACAGGCGAGAACACTCTCTCAGAGCAAAGGCACAGAGGCCGCAAGGGGCACAAGCAGACGGAACAGCAGACACTCGGCCCCAGAGGAAGCCATGAGGACAGGCAAGGGGCAGACCTCAGTCAAGCCACCGAACCCAGGCAAAGCACAGTTTACTATTAATTTAGTTTCCTGGTTTTCACTATAAACCTAGCATGCCATCAGAACCTGGGAAGGGAAAGCAGGAGGGCAAAGCGGGAGAGCGGGAGTGCACAACACCCACAGCCAGGGCTGGCAATGATCCCTATGGCCACCACGTCACTGGCAGCATGGGAAGCAGATGAGGCTGAAGCAGGAAGCTGCGCTCACACCCTGCATACTGTCAGGAAGGGCAGGACCCACCACACGGGCTTCGCTGCTGCTGACAAACACCAACTACATGTGCACGCTGCACTTGTGCGGCTCACATGCCTCCGGAGAACAGCCATTTCTCAGAAACCACCACTTTTCATGTGTGCAGTAAGGAAACATAACGTCCGGGACCGGCTACAGAGGCCTCCAGCACTAGGGCTGCAGCGGCGCCCCGGCTATCACCCGGCTCTTCCCACCCTCGCACTAACCCAACCAGGCCTGCAAGCTTCGCTTTCCAGGGCCCCGATGCTAATGTGTACCACTGGTAAAGAGAGCCATCATCAGCCTCTATGCTCTGGCTCCAGCCAGCACCAGAATGAATTTTTATCTACTGATGCCAAAGGAAGGCTCCCTGATACCTGCATGACCAACAAGCATTTCTAGAAAACAAAAATTCGCTCACACCCTGAAGATCCCAACACCAATCTCCAGCTAAGGGAGGCTACCTGCTCCTGGGGACGTGACCCTGCACACACATAAGACCCTCATCATCTGGACACAGTCTGTTCATTCCCAGAAAGGCAGAGGGGCTGCCTTCCAGCCTCAGCAGCTCTGCTCCTAGCTCTGGTGAGCACAGTGAAGAAACTGACAGCAGGTCTCGCACAGCTCTGCATACCTTCCACTGAATTTGTAGATTGCTGTTTTGAAGTTTTTGAGGCCAATGACCTGGATGCTCTGTTGGAAACCTCCACCTTAAAGAAAACAAAAAAGAATTAATGGGTGTCTTACACAGTAAAATCATTAACAAATATTTTTTTCAAGCTCTGTTTAAGGAAGAACACGTACTGAAAACAGCAGCAGCATCCACAGGCTTTAAGGCGAACTCACAGCAATGAAGCACGGCGCAAGCTAGCACTTGGGGCCTGTGAGTGCGGGCTGGGAGAAGGTGGAACCCCTACACCCCGAATGCAGAGCTCTGCACAGCTGCAGCAAGGCAGCAACCTGTGCACGTGGAGGACACGTCCCCTGGATGTGCATCTGAGTACCTAACTTCACGGCTATCACAGCCACACATGCTGCCCAACAACGGGATGCGGCCTGGGAGCTGTGTTGGGTTATTGGCAGTTTCCTGTGTGACCATCACAGGGTAAACCGACACAAACCAAGACAGCCAGACATCTGCAAACAAAGTGTCCCTATGCAAACGAAGATGGCTACCAGAAGATCTCATAGGACCACGTCTTTACGTGCAGTCCGCCACTGACTGAGCCGTTGGTCGGTGTTTGTAAACACTGGGAAAGAAAACTCACCGGCTGTGCCAGCAGAGTGCAGACCCAAGGAAAGCACAGAGCTGGCCTCCCTGTCCCATGAGGAGCGGCCTGGGGCTTCCCAGCCGACCTCAGCTGCTCCAGCTCCCCCGCCCTGAGGCCACCTCACCTTCCAGAGGGCTCTTGCCTGGTGGCTGAATGTGATGGCCAGGACAGTCAGACAGCCATGACAGGCCACAACAGCACCTCGGCTACCAGAAATACACCAGAGGGAAGGACCCAGATGGGGTCCCACCAGGCCCCTCAGACTGTTAGCCTGGGGACTCCAGCTCCGCACCAGTGACCACCTGTCCCTTTGTGTCCCGCACACTGGGTTACTCAAAGAAACCAGCCCATCTGTCTCGTCAGGTGGAAAACCACTTACGTCCCACTTTTACAAGATAAGGGGTGCTGTTCTGTGGGAGCCCAAACCATGCTCTCCTCCCAGCTCACTGGACAAGGAGAGGACAGAGCATGTGCTGCCAACAACTCAACTGTGAGTGGACATCTCTCAAAACTGTGCCTGCCATGTTTACCTCTGCTTCCACTTTGGAGTCTTTGACAGGTCCATCTAACAGCTTCTTCGACATCTCCCCTGAACCTGCTGGCTACAAAAAAAAAAAAAAAAAATGAACTTAGAATTATCTAAATCCATACCATCTAAAAACATCTAACATCTAAAAGGACACCAAGACCTGGCCCCTAACACTGATCAGCTCCCTTAGTCCACTTGGACTTCCACATGAACAGCAAGAAGTCACTGTCCCGTCCCTGCAGGACATCAAATGCTGCTGCCTCTCTGCAAAACACAAGGGATATGACCCTACGATCCCTATGATCCCATGTCAAGAAGAATCCTTAGAAAGCACATCCCAGTGCAATGCAGGGCCAGGAACCCAGGAAGGAGTAACACGAATGTCCAGTGCCCACGGGCAGGTGCTCTTCCTTCTGAGACCTGGATCTTTCTCCTGACTGAAGCAGTCTGCGGACTTTAGTCAGGAAACTACCACATGAACACCGTAAATAGTAATCTTCACCTTAAATCAGTTCGGAAAACACATCTGGGTGGAAAGGGCCAGACAGCAGGCCTGACAGTCCTCATGTGCTACCACAAGCCTGTCAGACTGCATCACCGTAATTACCCAGCCAGGTGTCACCCAGCATCTGCCACGTGCACTCAGCTGCTCCCCTAGGGACCCCACAGCACACTGCAACCCACCTCCCACGTCTCCAACCCTTCCACTCATCCTTCTCACCGAAGCCCGAGGCAACCAGGAGCACCTGACCCGCTCTCTTCCAAAAGGAGAGACCCAAGGAGGAGGCAGCACTCTGCCAAGGGTGGAGCAAGTGTGCAGAGTAGGATCAGGACCCAGATCTAAATCCACGGAAGTCTGGGAGCTAGAGTCCTGGGAGGTGCCTCGCAGCAGCTCATGCCACTCCATCACTTCTGACAGAGACCTGTCCACATCTTTCAGGCCCACAGCACTGAGGAAGATTCCCTGACACTCAACTGAAGAGTCCCTTGGACAGACTCCACGGGAAATCTGAGTGAACTCACTCAGTCCCAGCCTCAAATTCTAATAAACCAAACCACTGTCCACAACTGGCTCTATACATTCCCAGGCGCCAGCCTGCACACACTTCTCTCTGTAGTCCTCTTCCTCTGTTCAGACAACTGGTCACCATGCCAGGACTTCAGGGAACCAAAACGGGGTGCCTGGTCTGTGGACTCCAACAGGCTGCTCCACTTGAGGGCTACTTCTGTGTTGAGTACAGTAGAATGTGCTAGAGCCCCCCAAAGAGCAAGCGTCAGGCAGCTACGCTGAGGGAAGAGCAGGACCATGTGTGGTTGCCAGACTCACTAAAAGGGAACCCAGGTCTTCAGGGCAAGGAGCATAGTACGTTCCTCCAGGAGGTACAAGCAGGAGCGCAATGCCACCTTAATGAGCAACAAAGCTCCCGGGACACTAAACTCAACCCCTCACAAACCTCAGCAGTCGTTTGGACAGGTCCCACTTTCCCAAAATGGGCTTCTACAAACTTCCTCAGAAAGGCCAGGTCACAGGCTGTGGACAAGGGGTGCTGCAGAGCCCGCACCTCTCCAGAACAGCCACGCTCTGAGACACAGGGCTGCAGCCCAAGACCACTGCTCCAGAAGGAGAGAGCGGGATCTCCCAGGCCACGCCCTCACTGCCTGACCATGTCACTGGGGTGGGAACATCTGGAACTGTCCAGACTTCTGCTTCCCCCCAGCCAGTGGCTGCAAACAAATCCAGGTCCCACAAGAAGGCCATCTGGAAAACCGGTTCTGGTGTGTAGGATGGGTACTGAAGCAATCTGAACATTTCAAGCATACAGTTCTAAGCCAAAAGGATTTCCTAGCCAACCCTAATGTTACCTGAGATTGTATTAAGTAAGAATTACAGCACGCTGAGGCCTTGTGTCACTTGTGTGCCAGGACCTAGAAGCCTTTGGGAATAGCTCTAATCCTTAAGGAACTCAGCGAGGCCCTGCCGCTCACAAGATAAGGCAACACACTGCCTGTGGATGAGCTCACAGCACCCAGGGAGAGGTGACTCCAGGTCCCGGAAACCCACACACACATCTGGGCAGAGGACACTCTAGAAAATGTTACTCCCCCTCCCACTGCCCACACACTCAGCAGGGAGTCATCACATTCTAAACCAAAAACTGTAAGAACAAGCACCTGCTGACACTTCCTGGCTTTCTCCTCCAAATCAGATCAGAACTCCCCACAGAGGCCTCACAGACCACTATCAATTGATTGGGTCCATGTAATGCTTCATAACCTGAAAACTTTTATCATCCTTGTATTAACCCTTAATTCCTTCCTTCCCCGAATTTTTACTGCAGACCTACTATGTGCCCAAACTCTACAGGGATTTAACAGTGAACAGACAAGTCACAAACCCAGCTTCCCCACTAATGGATATAATGTAGAGACTAGCTGAAAGCTTAGAGTACACCCTGATGAGTCGGCCTGGGAGGCATCCACCTATAATGCCACTCTAGAGAGACCGAGGCAGGAGAATCGCTGAGTTCAAGGCCAGCCTGCACTACACAGTGAGACTCTGTCACAAAAGCTGGCTAAACAAGAAACTGCTATGAATGAACGACAAAAAAAAAAATTAACTAAAAAACTGAAATAAAAATAAAAGCAAGCTAAATAACAGAACATGTACACAGGGAAACATAGCACGGCACTTTAAACACTGTACTAAAGTGAAAAGCCAATGTCTTCAATAAAAATATTTAAATCGGCATCAAAAAAAAAAAAAGTATCTGGCATTTCTTTGGGTTACTACTGGGAATCCAAAATTGGATAACTTTACATTGACATCGAAGTAAACCAATTTCCTGGTCACACCATCAAAAGAGCCAGAAATCATGTCAGAGCTGCGAACGGTGAGCTGCGTGAGACACACCTTTCTCCCCGGCCGATCCAGCTCCCGGCTCTTGTCCCTGTCAGGGTCCCTGGCCCGCTGGCGCTCACGGTCCCTCGCCTTGTCGCGGTCCTGCTCCCGGTCCCTGTCCCTCTCTCGGCCGCCCTCGTTCCTCCTCTCCCGCTCGGCCTCCCGGTCCCTGGGGCCTCTGTCTCTGTCCCGCTCCTTCTCAGGCCGGGCGCGGGCTCTGGCTTTGTCTCGCTCCCCTTCTCTGTGCTTGTCCCTCCAGGGCTCCTTGTGCCGCTCTCTGTCATTCTCCTTCGCCTTCAACTTGTCTCTCTCTCTCTCCCGGGGTCTGCTCTCCTCCTTCGGTTCTTCTTTCTGTTTTTCCTCTCTACTTGTACTCCTCTCTTTTACTTCAGAGTGCCTTCTCTCCTAAAAATAGAAACATACAATTTGTTAGTGTCTCTCCTCCTGTGCAGAGAGCCTCCCGATCTCACTTTCCAAGGTGCACGACACGCACGTCACCTCTTTGTCTTTTTGCATTCTGGACTCCTCTTCCCTGGCATTCTTGTTGTCTAGCTCGTGAGACTTCGAGGTCCGCACGGCCCTTCCTCTCGCGTCTCCCTTCTCCCCGGCTAAAACCTTCTTCACCGCGTCATCACTGGAGAGCTTGGCATCCAAATGTTCAGAAACCAGATGCAAAGCAGAAATGAGATTTGCACATGAAGCAAAGATGAACATCAGCGTTCACAGACAGATCATTGAACACTAACAGTGAAATTCCAAGAATAAAACACTGAAGGAAAATGTTACTTCCACAGATGGGCACAGCGCCACCTGATGATCATTCTAATGACCAGGCGGCAGCAGCAGAGGCCATCCAAGCCAGTGAGCCCTGGCTCAGTTCTAGCTGCACAGCCAGGGTAAGGTGTGTGGGGTGGGAGTCAAGGGCAGGAAGCTGACCCATGCCACTCTACAAACCCTCTCCTTCCAGCCGGAAGGCCTTAAAACAGAGGCTAATCACCTCACACCCATTAGGGCAGCTGCTAAAGAGAACAGAAAGCAAAAGAGCCATGTACATATGACCTAGTAATTATTCTGAGTTTAAGCCCCCCAAAACTGAAACTTTTGGGGGGTTTTTTCTGCATTTAGTATAGGAATACAGGGTTACAGGGTCTCCCTACGTAGATCAGGCTCGTAGGATCCTCCTGTTTTCAGCCTCCCAAGTGCTAGGAGGAGCGTGCCACCACGCCCAGTCTCAATCATCTCACTGCACCCTGGGGGCATGGCTTGGCTCCCTGGGGATGGAACCCCGGCCACTGCACTCTGCCTAAGCAGGCGCTTTAGTCTGCAGAGCTATTAGGCCAGCCTGAAACCGCTCTTAAAGACATTTCCACACACGTACAGAGTAGCTGAAGTGTGGACGTGACCCCACTGTCCAGACAGATGAATGGGCAAGCACAATGCGACCTGTTCTAGGAATAAAATGTTGTTTACCCCCAAAGGAGGAGGAAAGTCCAGCCTCTCCATCACACAGGCAGGCTCTGCGGAATTAAGCGCTCAGGAAAGGACACCCCGCAGCCTGTATGAGGCCTCAAGAGTAGTCACACTCATGGTGACAGAGGAAAACCATGAGGCAGAAAGGAAAAGGAGCTACTATGTAAGAGACACAGCATCTGTTTGGCAAGATAAAAAGCTTCGGCCGTGAGGCTGCGTAACGTCACTAATGTATTCACTATCACTAAACTGCACACTTTAAAATATCTAAGATGCTGGGCCGGCCAGATAGCTCAGCGAACTAAAGCGCCTGCTTAGGCAGTGCGCAGTGGCCAGGGTTCGATTCCCGGCATAGCATGCTGTGCCAGCCTTGTCCCCGGGGAGCACTACGACAGTGATGGAGACTGGGCCTGGTGGCACACACCTATAATCCCAGCACTTGGGAGGCTGAAAACAGGAAGATCACTACAAGTCTAATCTACGTAGTACGACCCTATAGACCCTGAACTAAATACATGGAAAAATATGGCTAAGATGCTAACTCTTGCCAGGTGTGGTGGTTTGTGCCTTTAACTCCAGCTACTGGGGAGGCCAGGACAAGATGATCACAAGTTCTAGACCAGCCTTACCAACTTAAGTGACTTAGCCATCTCAAAGCAAAAGGGGCTAGGAATGTTCCTCAACAGCACAGCACTCCAGGCTCAATTCCCAGTACTTAAAAAAAACAAAACAAAAAAAAGACAGCTAACTTTATGTTATATGGATTTGAACAAAATACAAAAAGGGAGGATAAAAAATATACAACCAGGCGGGGGAGATGGCTCAGTGGAATAAGCGCTTCCCTGGCAAGCGCAAGGGCCTGAGTTCAAACCCCGGTTCTGCAAAAAACAAAAAGCAAAACAAAACAAAAATATATATATACAACCCACTTCACACCCCATCAAATGCAGAGCGCCTTCCCCAGCACCCCACGTGCCACCCAGGGCGCTGCGGGGGTACCTTGCTGAGGCAGCACTTTCCCATCATCTGCAGCAGCTCGTTTGTTCTCTCGGGCTCATGCCCAGCCACAATGCGCGCTGGTTTGGCCAGCAGAGGCTCTCCCGAGACCATCACGACCACATCTATGGCCTTCTGCAGGAAGCTAATTTTTGCATCTTTGTCCTGAAATGATTCCATTGAAAACACAATGTTAACAACCTCCAGGAGCTGGCGTCATCCTTGGTGTGATCAACAGGCACAGGACACTTCCACTTAAAGCCATTTTTAGATGTATGTCAAATTTAGAAATACTGATCTTTATACTACAACAAAAGCAATGCCCTAAAATTCTTAGTCCAGGTCATGGGCTAGCATTAACCCCTAGAATACTAATACTAAAATTCTGATTTTCAACAGATACATACAGACACAATGTAGCCCAAAATGAGGCAATGAAATGAGAAAGGGTACTCACTCACTCCTGAGTGCACTGGCCTCCCATCCCAACCACTTCTCAGCATATAAATGGTGCACATGCACCCTCCAAGCCACCCCACTCATTAAGGGCCCACTGAGGAGGAGCCGCGCCAGCCTACCTTGACATTATCGGACTTCATCTCGGCATCCGTGTAGAGTCCCTTCATGAAACCAGTCATTCTGATCACCTTGGGAAGACAGAAGTCACCACCAAGCTCAGGGGGCGGCTGCTTCAATGGCCTCATCACTGAACGTGCTCAGGGGCAGCCAGATTCGGCCTGCGCCCAGGACTCTGAACACCCACTTGTCCAACAAACATCTGAGGTTGGTCTCAGTGCAGGGCTCTGCGCCTGGCATGAGGCCTGCAGAGCCCCAGTGTGCCCTCTGGAAGGGTGGGCTCCGGGGGAGTGGGGAAGGCTTCCCAGGACCCATCACACCTGAGCTGGAGCCAAAGGCTATCACAAGAGCAAAGGAGGCGTGCAGGAAGCACAGACCTAATGAAGGTCCTGTTCAGGGGAACCACAGTATGTGAGGGCAGGAGCCTGAGGCCAGAGTCACATGGGGCAGGGGTGCTCTACAGCTGCAGGGACACAAAGTCAGCCTAAGAATGCAGGGAAGGAAGGACCTGACCTCCTGGCACTTCACAAGAGTCAGAGTTGAGGGAAAGGATTCCAGAAAGAACAGCACCACTCAGCCTGGGCATGTCCACCGCAAGCTCCAGAAGGGTCTTTCTCTTCACTTCTTAGTTTTGGTTTGTTTTTGGTTTGTTTTTCTGGGTTTTTTGGCAGAACCAGGGATTGAATTCAGGCCCTTGCGCTTGCCAGGGAAGCACTTATTGCACTGAGCCATCTCCCTGGCCCTTTCTCTTCACTTCTTAGGATAGCGTGTGTTCTGCATCCCACCACATCTATTCTCTCCCTGCCTGGCCTTCCCTTGGGTAACCTATACCCACAGTGACCGCTAAGGCCAGCCTGCACAAGGGCCGCTTAACACCCAACTAAGGTATGGGTTCTCCAAGACCACAGTTCCTTCCAAATGTGCTGGGAACAACCAATACAATCAGCAGCAACAGCATTCCCTACAAGATGAAACAGAAAATATCAGGCAGATAGCACACGAGGCCGGGCACGCCCGCAAGGATGTGTCAGGTCAGCTCAAAAGCCCTGCCTGTGAAGCAGGTTATAAAGACACCTCCTCCTCTGGAATAAAACTATTTAAGAGCTGTGCTACTCTGTGTGTGTGTGTGTGAGAGAGAGAGAGAGAGAGAGAGAGAGAGAGAGAGAGAGAGAAAACAGGTGGAGCTAGGTGCTGGAGAGGATCCTGCACTCAACAGGGCCATAACATGCTCGCTCAGTCCCTCTGAATGTTCTTAGGATACGGGAAGCTTAAACTGGTAACTGTAAGTGACAGACACTAATGTCACAGGAGGTAACTCGGTTTAATGGAGGCAGCAGCTTAGTTACGTACAGCTAACACACTGAGACAGAGGAATGGACACAATATTCAGGCACAGTAAAGACTGTTCACAGGGGGCCGGGGAGATGGCTCAGTGGACTAAGTGCTTCGCTGGCAAGCGCAAGGGCCTGAGTTCAATCCCCGGTTCCACCAAAACAAAAAAAGACTCTCCACAGGACTTTCTCCACCTACTCCCTGAAAATGCTTTCCAGGGCAGCCATCGCTCTGACACCTTTATTAGGGAAGGGACAAGTAGTCTACTATTGTATCAGGTCAGAAATTAATTTCAGTATCAGATCAGAAAAGTCTGGAGAACAAGCAAGACCTGCTCCCGCCTGGGGGCCGTGCTGCTCACAGGCCCCCAAGCCAGCTCCTGCTTGCACACCGCTCCTCCACAAAGCATGCTCCACGGGCCATGCTGGTTCCTGGGAAGCCACGCTGGGCTGGGCCTGCCCTGCATACCCACCGGAGGAGGACGCTCTCTGACCTCCCTCCCTCTGTGGAGACTGTATTTTCTGGGGCAGGACTAACACAGAAGACAGAAGTACAGGCTTTTGCAGCCTCAGCCTTAACGGGCCAGGCTCACATCCTGGCTGCCGCTCCCTTGCTCACCCTGAAGCAAGGGCACCTGCCCACTTCCCAGGGCACGGGTGACACATCATACCAAGTCCCTTCTCGGAACCCCATCCAGGACACCCTGGGGAGAGAAGGCCACAATGAAGCTCCAGGGGATGTGTGTTTTAAGTACAATCGGGATCTGTAACAGGGGCACAATTCCAAAAGAGCACACATTACAAGCTACCCCAGGATAGCTGAACTGACCACAGGAAAATCCGTGGAAGGGTAAGGCACCTAAGCTCTTTAAAAGAAAAATAATTCAGACATGATGGCACAGGCCACTAACTCCAGCTAATCAGAAGGCTGAGGCAGGAGATTGGCCAAGCTTAAGGCCAGCCTGGGCACCACAGAAATACCATCTAAAAAAAAAAAAAAAATTCACAAAGGGCACGGGGTGTAGTTCAGTAGTAGATCACTTTCCTCGCATCCGCAAGGCCCAGTGTTCCAATCCTCAATACTGAACACAAATTTTAGCGAGAAAGTGTCAGAACCAACACTCTGCGAGAGCAGGCACCCAGGGAGCCTGCAAGCCCAACTGACTCCCAAGTCCCGACGGCACCTAGGTCCCCGCGTCTTCCCTGCACCATGGAAATGGGCGCCCTCCCTCGCCTCCCGGGCGCCAGCACTGAGTTGCCAGGAGCCTTTATTCAACAGTGGTGTCTGTTGAGCAACTTCTATGTACCTTCCCCGGCACGACTGGCTGAGATATACTAACAGACAGGCTTCGGCCTCTGGGACCGAGGAAGCCACCCTCCTCGGCGGGAGGCCCAAGTCCAAGCAGGCTGGGTGGCACCGCGGCTGTACAGCATCCAGGCGCCCTACAACTTAGGCGCGCATCTGTGCGTGTTCCCGAGCGCCCGGGCCGCGGTGAGCGCGGCACCAAGCAGAAGACAAAGCCCACGAACAACCCCTTCCGGCAGGATGTGTGTCGCGGGCGAGGGGAAGCGGCCCTCGCAGCTCTGCCCGCGGCTGAGGGAGCCCTCCCGGCAGGAGCAACGAGGCGCCCCGGGGGGCCCGAGGCCGCCGGGGTGACGAGGCGGGACCCGCAGGGGCGCCGCAGAACCGGGCCCGGGCGCCCCGCG